AACAAAATCACCTTCAAGTGTTCCTGGAATGAGCCATCCATATGGATTTTGGGGCTGGAGGTCTAGTTATAATCTTTTCTTGTTTGCTTATGATTTAGATGATGAAAAGGTATTACATAATTTGGAATATGAATTTGTGAATTATTGAGTTTGTGTTGGAGAATATAATTTGGATTGCAATTAGGATGAAGACAAAGGGAGAGGGGCTGCAGATGGATTAACTGGCGTGAAGAAGAATATGCATTATTGGAGGATGGGGGTAAGTTAGGCCAAGTCGCACGGAAGAGAGGATGAATATCTTCCGGAGGATGATTCCCTCAATTACCAATGCCGGATTTGTTTCGATTTTTTTAGAGTATTGGACTGTGTGTTGAGTATATCGACAGAAAAAAAACCACACCCGATCACTATATGTACAGTATATGTTTGGTATATTTGATACCTTTTGTTGTCGTTTTTTTATGTTACGTCTGGTATATGTTGTCTTTTTTTTTTATTATCCAATGGTTTATTTCTGCTATATGTTTGGTATATGCAATACCTTTTGGTTGTAGTTTTTATTATGTTACGTCTGGTAGATTTGTTTTAGTCATATCTATCTTAAACCAAATAATATATTGTTGAACATAAAGATAAAATATACTGAACATAAACCAAAAATATACTTATACTGCACATATAAAAATAAATTGTTGAACATAAACCAAACATATTAAAATTACACAATTTATTTCTATGAACAAATACCAAAATATACTGCACATATACATTCTCTGTGACGTGAAATATACTCCAAACCGTGAATGATTAGTGAAATATACATACTGCACATAAACCAAACAATATATTGTTGAACATAAACTCCAAATAAACTGAACATAAAGATAAAATATACTGAACATATATTGCACGCATAAAACTAAACTGCTAAATATAAACCAAAAATATTAAAACCTACATAATTTATTTTGATAAAAAAATACCAAAAATATACTGCACATATACCTCAGAAAATAGTGTGGAAAATATGGGTTTCCGCTGCGTTTTTTCAGCAATTAATATGCTGCTAAATTTCAATTTTATTATATTTTTTTCCATAATAACCGCTTGAGATTGTGCCCCCTAAAGTCATGGAAACCGTTTCACACATCTACTGATTTTATTTAGGCATTAATATAATATCTTTTTATCTATTAGGTAAACACACAAATATTTTTCTTTCAATGGTAATCTTGCAAATAACTAAAAAATGGTAAGTATGTGTAAAAATTTCCCATAATTCTACATTTTTATTATAGGCGCAATTATATATATACTTAACGAAAATAAAAGATTTGCAAAAATACCATGGGTTGTTATAATATTGCATTCCTAAAAAATCTGGTTAAAATAATTGCATATATGCCAAGATTCAGTTACCATATGTGAAAAGTTGTAACTTATCATTGATAGTGGGACCGTTTTTCACGTTAAAATAAAAGAGATAAAAACCAACATGGAAAGTAATTAAATCCTAAAAATAAGAAAGGTGGTTGAGTGGAATTAGGAAAGATACAGCTTTTGAATTTCAAATATATACATAATATATACATAAGATATTGTTAAGCATAATAATGATGGGCAAAGGATAACCGAGTTACCCGACTCGGGTCGATCTCGAAGGAAGGCTATTCGGAGCTTCGTCTACTATATGATCGTCCAAATCACAAAAAGGGAAAATAAAGTCCTAGACATTCTAAACAATTGATTGGGGGTTTAATTATCACTAGTCGAGCACTTAAAACGAGCAATTAATTAAAAGCAAAATGAAAAGACGAGCAATTAGCTAACTAGATCACCGGAGTCTCACACCATAACCATAACGGGATG